GCAAAACAGTCACTTGGAGCCATTTTAAGCGTCGATTTCACGCACTAGGGGGTAATTGACCTTGATTTTACCAAATCTAGGCTCAGTTTTCAGCGACAATGCTTGGTTTCTGCGCTATTTAAAAACCGCACAAGATCCTGAACCGAACTTCAAAAGACCATCACAAAAAAGTACCAGAATAGATTTTCGATAGTTAGGTCTCAAAATCTGCGCCTTGGCGTCTAGAATATTTAAATCTAATTGAGTTTCTAATTTTTCTATTACATTTCGAGAAAAATCCAGTTTTTTCCAAAAGTTTGTTCATTTTCGAACAAAAACGTAGCGAGCGCGCTGTCCCCTTGTGCAAGGGAGCCTGCCGTAGCCCAAAAGCTATCCGTGCCTGCCTGTTAAAGCCTGGAATGGCGTGAAGAATCGTATCTGTACACGTCTTGCTACGTTTTCTAGCCGAACGCCGATACGGTGTGCTGCTACAACAACCAGGTCGACTACTTTTGCTGCCTGGATGCGAGTGCGGACCAGTGCCCCGACTATCATCAGGTTTTTTATTATAAATACTTATTTTATCGTCTTTTTTATGTGAAAATGATAGTCTTTATTAAAGGTGTAATACAAAATCGATGCACCAAGCTCGCGGAGGCGCAATTCGCGACGTAGATTAATTTCCGGTTTTGTTAGCAGCGGTCATAAATCAAAAAATCTGTTCTTTCTCAACTTCGAACCATCCAACTATGAAGAAAGTATAAATAGCGAATTTTCAGGTGACCGCCGTCATCCAGAACAACTTCCCCCAAAATCCGTTCGCGCTGAAGTCGTATTTCTTCCGCGAGGGTTCGTTTTCCGCTTTTTTTGTTGGATTTTAGACGGGCGCGACTAAGCAAAATTGTTTTGAAAGTGATGTTTTCCCAAAAATCATCTGACAGTTCCGTTAGCAAATAAGATACCTTGGCGGCTTCCCTGAAAACAAGGTCAGGGCGGAAGTATTTTTTGGCCAACAACAAAATGTATCTGGGATTGGGACTAGCGATAAGGGTTCGAAAATTTCAGTATATTTCAATAGTTTTAGCTATTTGTCGTATATTGATTGTTTTAAGGGATCGAGGATGAGATCGTTGACAATGGACTAGCCGAGGAAGGGCCAAACGATTCGGGGATGGCTGTCGAAAGGTAGATTTTTATTAAAAAATACCTTTTTAAATAAATCCTAAGCTATATATTTATTAAATACTACAATAAAAGTTATTGTTTAAATAAGTCCAAAGCCACTAAATAAATACAAACAAAAACACTTTTAGAAACGGCCCCGACAGCGGCTTCATCGTGCGACACGGGTGATCAGAACGGGATAACGCCAATTTAATAACGCTACCTCATAATAAATAATAAACGGTTCAATTCTACGCGATAATTATCGATTTCGATATGGATTTACACAATTGAGAGCTCTGGACATTTTTCGAGGGTTTACAGAGGAGATTTTGAACGGCGATACGTACCTTGAATTCCGAAAGCTTTTATAGAGATGATATTGGCTTGATAAGGACCCACCCCCCAAGCGATGAATCATCTTGCTGTTTTATAGGAGGAGGTCAGATTTCCGGTGACTCAGCGCGGGTTACGGTAGATTGGGCGCCATTTAGTTATATGGAGAGGGCGGTGAAAGCATTATTTTCGTATTACTAAAAAACATCTCGTTTTAACTAGTACGAAACTTAACGAATTCCTGCTATAACACGTTAATCTTAGCGATATTTAACGAGCTTTTCGGTGACTCAGCGGGGGTTACGGTAGTTTGGGCACCAATTAGCCGCGCTGATCAGCATACTTTTGACGAGAGTAGAAAGCCTGATTTGATTTCTCTAAAAGTCTAGTTTTAGCGAGTGCGAAACTTGGCGAGTCGCGGCCCGTGATTCTTAGCGATATTTAAAGGGATGCCGACGGCATAGTCAATCGGTTACGCGCGGAAAATAAAATGTCTCTGCGCCTCTCCCTGGGCGCGCTCTCTTCCCCTGTTGGCTACTTGCCAATTTGTTGATGAGGGGGGATCGACACATGCCGTCGGCAGCCCTTTAACGAGCTTTTCGATGACTCAGTGCGGGTTACGGTAGATTGGGCGTCAATTAGCCGCGCTGGTCGACATGCGCTTTGTCAAAAATAAGTTTAAAATAGTGCAAAAAATCTGGGTTTTCGCTAGTACGGGTCTCCAAAAATCGGGGTTCTCTGCCCTACACTAAATGATGCATGAAAGGCCTTGACTCGGCAGATCTTTTGCTTCTATACCCCACTTTTCAAATCCCCAACACGGCTTTTCCCCTTATCATTCGAGGGCTTATACGCCTGACCCGCCGTTATCATAATCGTGCTTAGGGTGTACGTCGTACGCAGCTGTTTGTCGTTTGTCGGTTAGTGTTTGTGTGTAGGGGGGTTGTGGTTGGTTGGGGATGGATGGGAGTGTATGTGTATCTCTCTCTCTCTCTCTCTCTCACTCTCTCGTTCTCTCTCTCACCTCTCTCCCCCGCCCGCCCTCTCCATTTCATTGCTCCCCCCCGCCTTCCCCGTCGCGGGCACACGATTTTTCCCCCGGCCAAGGTAACGCTTTTCGGGCCGGGGTGTAAAAACGCTATAATCCCCGGATTTGGCCCGTTTTTGACCTTTTAAAGATTTGTTTTGAAAGCAGAGACTTTTGCTGGCCTATTGTCAGCAAGCAAAGGCCATAAAGTCGAATGCTAATAGATTACGGCATTAAAATGCTCGGAAACTCGTCGTTTTCTCGCTTTTTTCTTATTTTTGCTCGCAGAACTAGAAGTCTTTAATCAACCATTATATTTTGTTGATTTTCTATTTTATTAGCACCCTTGAAAAGTCTCAAAATATGATTTAGCTATTTTTAGACAGCTAATTAGCCGAAGAACTCTTCATTTTCTCTCATATTTCTTGTTGTACGCCCAAAATTAAAAATTCTGGGTTAGCTCTCGTATTATTTGTATCACACTTTAAAACTAACTCACGTTAAAAAGACCATGAAACCGAATGTTAATAAATTACGGCATTAAAAGGTTGAGAAAACTCGCAGTTTTATTCATTTTTCGCGTTTTTTTTAACAAAAAGAAATTATTTTCTACGCCGTTTTAGCCTCTGGACTATGTTTTAAAGTTTACAACAGGGATTGATACAATTTTTGTCACTTGAAAATCTGATTATTTAATTTTTTTGGAGCATTTTGTCGTTGATTTGGCCTGATTTCCCACAGATTTCGGGTTTTTTTCTCTCCGATAATGCCATAAAATTAACTGCCGGAATTTTGGGTCTCTAAAAGATATTTGTTGCATTTATTTACGCGTTTCTCGCAAATGAATTTTGATTTATTTTGATTTGTTTCAGAAGGGGCCGTGATGGCCGAGCCCCGTTCCATCACAATCCCATGGGCCATCACATTCTTTTTGAACCTGCTGTTCCTCGTAAGTGATTTCAAAGTCGATTTTATGGATTTATTATTGGAAGGCGCGTTTTCTCAATTTTTTTTAGATATCTGCTTTTCTTAGCTTAATCTATGGCAAATTACCGTCGTATTTTTTGTTTTTAGTGCGTTTCCTTATCCTTTTGATCTTGTTGACCTTGCCGATCAACTTTTCTCTTCCGTGGTTATTTTTTTGTGCGATCTGAGAATGATCTTATAAAATGACGTTATTTTTATCCGTTTTTAGAACTCTAAATCGACGTTTTTCTCAAATTTTTTCGACTTTTTTCGACTTTCTGGAACGACTTTTATCTGATTTGCGAGTAGGTTGTCGACGTATCTTTTATGCCTCATTTAAAACCCAAATTTCTCATTTTTAAAATTTTTCGGTTCCACTTTTGAACGGCTTTCCCCAAAAATCCGGCAGCTTCTTCCTCGTCGCGCAAAAAGTTTGTGTGCCGGATCTGCGCGGGATTCGTCCCCGCCGGGCCCCCGTCTGCCATTGATTCTTTTTCTCCTTTTTCTTTTCCTTTTTTTCGTCCGCTTTTTCCTCGTCTCCCCCACTCGGTCGTCATGCAGCATTTTTTTTTCGGGGCTGGTTGTTGTCGACCCTGTCACTCTGGCTGCTGCTAAACATTCGCCGCCGGGCGGAGTTGATGCAATAACGGGGGGGAGCAGGTTTGGTTAAAAATTGTCGGTTAGGGGAAAAAACTTTTTCTTAAGTTCTAATATAAAACGAAGAGTGTTTTTCACCTTTTTTACTATTCCTAAACGTAAAAACTCCACAAAGTTCGATGAAAATGCAAAAAAACTGATTTTTGAACTAAAAGGGGCCAATTTTCGGAAACTCTTTAGAATGAAAAATTTTTTCTGCTTATCTAAGTAGTTTTGGGCTTTAGAATTACTTAAATTTTACTAACACATTTAAAATGTGTGGTTTGATGTACAAAAAGTGGCGATTTTCCAGGAAAATGCCCAGTTTTAGACCTGGTTAAAAGTTTTCTCAATACTTTTTCCACTCGAAAATTGCTGAATTTTCTTAAAAACCTTTTAAAATGCTTGCTACTATTTTAATCCCTGGGCTCTCTGAAATATTTGGACGTAGGACCCCCCCGATAATGCCAAAGAACCCGCCTGAGAATTTAAAACTCAACCCAGACTGCCTTGGCGTCGATTGCTCTTGTCGGTCGGCCTTTTTGTGTATTTTTCGGTCTAGGTTCTGTGCCGTTTTTCGGCGCGTCAGCTATCGATCGATGGGGGAGGGCGGCCGATCATTTTGGGGGAAAGGGTGCGAATAATTCGGCACTTGCCCCATCACTCTCTCTCTCACTCTCTCTCTCTCTATCTCTCTCTCTCTCTCTCTCTCTCTCTCCCTTTCCTCTTTCTCCTTCAACGGGATGTCAATCCCGATGTACACATTGAGACAATCGTTGCCACGGTTGACTGGCCGATTCCATTTTTAGGGGTAAAACAAGAATTGCGCTTGGAAATGGAGAAAATAGAAATAATAAAAAGTATTAAAATATTTACGATTTAAAATCTATTTTTTTCAGTTCTGCTCGTTGGGGCTGCTGGGGATGGTAGTGGTGGCGGCCGTAAATCCACCGCCCGCCGATATTGCGCCCAAGCAGGTCAACGAGTACCCGCAGGTAGGAAACAAAGAAAAGGGATAGCTAGTGAGGGTAGATACGCAAACGTATTGTACAGATTTTTATGTACAAAATGTTTTTTGGCCTGTTTAAGAAGACTTAAGGTGGTAATTTCGACGTTGCTCATCGGCTGGGTGTCGACAGCTTCCATGGAATGTAAATTCTGTCGATTACTAGTCCCTTAAAAACTCCATTTACAACCTATACACCTCTGGATTCGGGGCATTCACCTACTCCCCTACCACTTATCCCGTCACATATTTATCCACTCACACCCCGCCCAGCCAGTCAGTCAGTCATTCTGCAAAATGAGCGCTATGCCTTTCGGGAAGCGGATGGGGAGGAGGAGGAGGAGGCAAAATAGCAGAAGGGGAGCATGTCGTTTCGTCGCTAGCCCCGAAAAGGGGTAGGATAGGGGGTCTCGTCGAATATTCAGGCGAGAGAGAGAGAGAGAGAGAGAGATAGCGAGAAACACCCCCCGGGGACGACCCATCCAACCGCGAGAAGATGAGCTACTACGGGTCATGAAGGGTCTTTTCGGGGGTTTGGGTGGATATATCCAATCTTTTTCCGGGAAAACCGGAAGAATTACTGAACAGCTCGAAGTTGAGGTCGAAAATTGATCTCTAAATTGGGAAGATACATGTTCAAGCTATTTAAAAAAATCACGACCTTGAGACAGCCTTGACGCGCCCTAAACGCGTTCTACTACGTTAAGCTACGCCCCAGTACGCCAGTATCGAGACGCAACAGGAAATTACTCTTTTATTTATAAACCGCAGACCGCAGATTTCTTTCTCCAATTCCCCACCACTCCTCGAGCCCAAGTCGCCGGGAAGAAATACATTTTTCCGGGCGTATGTTTGCGTGTTTGTATGTATGGGGCAGGGGTGGAAAGTTGGCGGCCTGGGGGGATGGATATTATTCAATTTGGAGGCCCTTTCCAGCCAGTCCGTTCGAGCGGAGTGTCCCGTAGTGGCCGGCCACTAAATGAAACTCCCAGTCGCCAGCCCCCCACTGAAATTGGCATCCAGACTTTCGGGGAGGGAGCGTTAGAAACGCTGGAAGTAATACGAAAATGTCAAAAAAAATCGTTAAAAGTGCTATAGAATTTACGAGACAACCTTTTATAATGGTTTTTGGTAAAATTTAACGAGGTTTAAAGTAAAAAACAGACAACAAATTTAAATTTTCAAAAATTCGTAATTTTGGTAAAAAAATCTATGTTTACTCGATCACGATTTGCGCTACGGTATATGTACGGAATGCAAGATTAATAACCCTTATTCCATTACAGTACCTGATGACGATCGGACTGCTTGCCTTATTCGGCTGGAGCCTCTTCTCACTCCATTTCCTCGGCGTCATCGCCACGTCCATCAGCAGCTCGTTTCTTCTGTCAATAGTACGTTACGATACTAATGACGTAAAGTATCTACGTTTTTTTCAGTTCATCCTCTACCAACTTGGGCAGTTGTGTGCCCAATTTGTTATTCTTGCCTTCACGCTGACGGTTCGGACGAGGGTAGGCAAATTTTTGGCTCATTTTGCATTCTAAGGGCCTGATAAAGCGCGATTTTTTAGGTACTTGTTCCTTAGCGGTGGGCATATTGTCCCTGATTTTGCCGATATGATCCTTTTTTGAGCGCGAGAAATTACAATAAAAATGCAAATTCTATCATTCCACTTTCAGTTACACCGCCGACTCGAAGACGTTTACATCGGAAAAGCGCGCTGCTCGACAGGGTTCGGCTGTGAGCCGGTCAGCCGTTTCCAACATTCCGAGACGCTACTCATCGTCTTCTTCTCGGTGTGCACGTTGGCACAGGTGAGCCGAGCCAAATCCCCTGACGAAAAATCGAGAAACCAATCATTCCCCCACCCGCTAATGAACTAGTACCGAAATATTCCGATTTCAGATCGCGCTGCTGATCGCCTCGTCGGTGCTGTGCGAGCGCATCTCCTACAAAGAACTGCTGAAAGCACAAGCGCAGCGCGAACGCGAAGAAGACGAGGATGCCCTCTTTGCTGATGATGGCCACGAGACGGCGCTGAGTACGGCTAGAACTTGACGGGTTTTCCGGCGCTCCCCAATCTCTAATTCTGCTCCCAAAGACGGTTTTGTAGTTTGTAGCCTTGAAGTTTTGTAGTCTACAATCTTTTCTGAGACTTTTGAAACTTTGTAGTCCGCAATCCTTTTCATCAATTCTCAGCTTTGTAGCCTACAAAGTTACTCCGGTTTTGTAGTTTGTAGCCTGCAATCTTGGCGACAAGTTTCAAATTTGTAGCCTACAAGCTAGCGCTGGTTTTGTAGTTTGTGGTCTACAACTATCTTCGTTGCCTACAAACTGGCCCTGGTTTTGTAGCTTGTAATCTGCAACATTTCAAACAAAATTTGAAGTTTGTAGCCCAAAATCATGCTAATCCAGTGAAGTTTGTAGCCGGCAAATTTCAGCTTATTTTGTAGTTTGGAGTCTTGAATCTTTCGCGACAATTTAAGTGGAACTTTTGAATTTGTAGCCTATAATTCTTCCAAACAAAGGCTACAAACTACAAATTCCACCGTGAAAAACTTTCATCACCCCCTAAATTCCTCCGCCAACCCCAGGCAGCTTGCCAATTCCATGCAGCTAAGCTCTAGAAAACTATCCAAATTCTGCCCTTCTTTGTACAGAATCCAGATTTTCTAAAACATTTCTATTTTCCCATGTTCTCCTAGAATTTTCAAGGGACCGGTAACCCCTCATTGGCAGCATTTTGGCCCCTCCCACCCGCTACGAGTACGTCCTATGCACGTTGCCTTATGTGGTTTCAGTACTACCTATTACCTACTGTAGGGTGTCACAAAAATCACTCGGTAAAATCTAAATCGGTAAAAATCACAACAAAATGTTGTAATTATTATCGGCTTTTGTCATTTTTAGGATAAAATTTGCATCTAAAACTCTATTTAACGGATAGTTTAACAGTTTAAAAAGACAATTTGGGTTTTAACAGTTTTTTAAAACGATTTTTGGGCATTTTTATACATTTTTGGGAACAACCCGAATTTCCGGCGGTTTCGAAATTTTGTAAAAATTTTTGTGTGCTTTTTGCATCCAAAACCGATTTAAAATACTAGAAAATGGGCTATCATCCGTTTGCGGGCTATAGAGTTTATGGGCGAAAATGCTCCCCCCTGCTAGGAGGACAGTACCAAAATTTGAGCCCGATCGTCTAGAAGACGTCGAAATGCCGAGTGATTTTTCGGAACCCAAGATATATAATTTTTGGACCAATGCCGATTTTGTAAAAAACCTGTCATTTCGCGTGCCCAGCCATCCTTCACTTCACTTATTCCCCATCCCGATCGCCTCTTGTTTCATCCCGTACTGCCTATATATTCTATACGAAATACGCCACGCTACGAAATCACGATTATCCCACGTTTTTTTGGATATTTTACGAACGTTTCTACCTTGATTTTTCGGATTTTTTTGTCCACCCTGCCCTCCTCCGGTGATCCCCAACAAATTTTGTGCCTTTGCCGCCTCGACTTTTCGCTTCCTGTTTTTTTTTGTTGTTTTGCGAATAAAAAGAGATTTCTACCATAATAATTGGTGAATTTACATGGAAAACACACAGAAAAATCCATAAAAATCAACAAATTTTCAGAGGCCTTAGGGCCTGATAGAAAAACAGCTTTTTCTCTGCCTAGGAAAGCCGTATCGCAATGGTTTTGACACGATTTTAAAGCCCGGAAAGCGGCACTTTTAAACACTTAAATTATATAAGTCTAAATTTAAGTTATCTGGTATATGCTGCACTTTATAAAAAAGTTAGCAAACGGACAATGCTTAAAAAACCTAGTCACGAAAATAAAGCGCGTGCAATCGCATCAAAATAGACCTTAGTAATGGGGGGTGGGCGATGGCGCGTCATTTGGCGTCTCGCGTTCTTTTCGAAAGATGAGGAGATGGTCAAACAGTAGATGTGGAATAAGTGACGCTCGACGCTCTCAATCAGAACCTCATAGCGCTCTCTGCCTCTGTCTCTCTCCCTCTCTCTCTCTCTCTCTCTCTCTCTCTCTCTCTCTCTCCATTTATCCACCCTCACAAGATATCTGTATCCGCCTGGCCAGGTCCACAAACATTGATTTTCCCGAGGGGAAACATGCCTTTAACAATTTATTTATACCGTTGCGTTAAATAGAGAGTTTTACAGGTGTAAACTTTCTTTGATACCCTGATTTTTCCATTGTCTTCATTTGTGTTGTTCTTTTAATAATTTCCGGTACTGGTCTGTTAGCGGGGGAGGGGGGGGGGGTTAGCGGAGGTAAACAATCAGCCGTAGCACCCCCATGATAATAATAGACGTTTTTACAGCAGTTTACACAAATTCCAGATGTAAAACCACATAAAAATTATACAAAATTTCTATCAACTTTTTTGCCTGCCTTTATCAAAATAGCTTAACTTTTTTATTATTGTTGTTTGTAAAAATTTTGCTAACTTTCGGTACTGGACTGTTAGCGGGGGAGGCATCAAAAAGGAACATAGATCAAAACCTTCAATTAAAAAATTTAAGAATTGTTCCACCTTCCTGGTGATCAAAATGACTAACCATAAAAACCCTATAAAAATTAATAAATTAAATTAGCTTACCCCCCCCGTTAACAACCCAGTACCAATGCGTCGCATGAAAACATGCTTTTTTTCAAAATCTGGCTTTGGCACTCTCAACACTTTAACTTTTATGTTTTCTTAATCCTCCAGGCTCTTAACAAATTCAGTTTTTTCCATAATTTTCTTGGCTTAAAAATGCTATAAATATACCAGGATCAATGGATGATTTTTTGTTGACCCTCAGGGATCACCTGAAGCCACTTCCGCTCACCGTTTTTTCTCAATCTACGAGCATCACCGCCTAAAGTATTTAATTTTGCCGGCGTCATCAAAAAATGCGGTCCCTCGAGGATGAGTTGGAATGGCTAACAAGCCGCCATCTATCTTTCCGGTTCCCTTTTACGAATCTTGCGAATCGACGTTCGAATTTGGGGCTTTTCATCGCGTCGAAATGGTCTTGAAATAGTTCTTTCATTTCTTTCATTGATGCCAAATCATCCGCCCAGTCACTGAACAACGTCTCGAAGGCCGTGGAAAATTTTGGGAACGGCACGCCGAACTTTTTTGAAGCTTTTTATAGTTGATGCCTAAGATAGTGCTACAAAAAAGGTTAGCGTTCTTTTGCATTATCGGGGGGGGGGGGGGGATTTTTTCTGCTTTTTCCAATTTTAAGATAAATAGATGAAGTTTGTTTTTTGCAAACGCAAAAACTGTACAAAGTTGTTGGAAAATACAAAAATATCGATTTTTTTAACCAAAATTTCGAATTTTTAAATCTATAAAAGTTTTTAGATAGTTTTTAGATAGTTTAGAAAGTTCTAAATTTTTAGATAGTTTAGAAAATACAAAAAATAGCTTTGTTTGAATTACGAATTTTTGTAATTGTTGTTTGTTTAAATGTTTTGTAAAATTTTTGTAAAGTTTCTTGTTAGTTTTTCCACTTAAAAGGTTGAATATTACAAAAACCCTATTCAAATACTTTCTATTACTTTACGCATACAAAAAAAATTGGTGTGTCCTCTGATAAACGCTCACCAAAGTTTGGTGCCCAAAATCTTCCATAAACTTGACCTTCATTCCAAAAACCCTAGGGTTGATCGTTTCCCCGGGCTTTTGTAGACCTTGGCCACTTACGGCATTCCCAATTTGCATAGGCAAATATTCAAGGAGGGCACTGGCCAGGTTTTTCTTACCCGAAAATGCCTCTTTGCGTCCTTAGCTCTAAGCGTCTCGCAGAAAACGTTTGAAATATGCTATAAATTGTCTATTTCCCTGTGTATCAGGCCGTTTTGCTTTTTATACTTCTTTTCCCCCATCTCGAATCATCCCATTCAACCCATCTCGATGGGCCCGCCAATTTGCTCGTCCGCCCGACACCTAACGACGATTCGCAGGCAAATTGGAGCGTCGCGGAGGGGCCATCGGTGTTTTATTGCTTTTATTCTTGCGCGCTTATTTTCGGTATTTTGCCTGCTTTTCAAGTTCTAACAGCTTTCACCCCGTAATTGATTAATAACGTTGCCCAGCGTGCGCGTTGCGTGTCGCGGATGCGAAAAAATGAAGAATTACAACGGGAAATTCCTGATTCTACCGCAGGAAATTAGCGGATTTTTTCTACTTTTTGTTATCCGTTTTTTTTGTTTTCCCTCGATAATTACAGATTACGCCCCAAAACGGGGCTTTTTGCATTGTTTTCCCGCCGGAAGCCATTTTTGTGAGTTTCGGTGTTAAAAATCTAAAAGGCTACTTTATTTTCGTGTTTTTTCGAATTTTAAAGGGTTTGAAAAGCCATTTTTTTTAGTTTTTCTGCCTCGCCTTACCTTTAATAAATACTCTTCACTTTTCCGCACCACTTCAAATTGTTCCCGAACTGATCTCACGCCCTTTACTTCCAAAAAGCTATTTGCTAGCTTGCTCCGCGCCGAGGCCCACTTGAATTTTTACACCGAAATTTTTTCAGGTTACTGTTTGTCGTCAGCCGTATTTGGTGTGCTTTTTGGCGGGTTGAAGTGGGAATCTGGGCCCGAGTTGGACCCTGTAGAGCCGAAGGACCGCCCATATTATAGAATCTACGCACCGCGGATACACTAGAAAAACAGCCAGAAGCGTCACAAAAAACTAAAGGTGATTTTTTAGATTGTTAAAAAAATTTTTGAGAAAGCGTTTCTATAATTTTTTGCATAATTTTACACTTAGAAAATAGTAAAATTTTACTAAAAACAATAAAAAAATAGTCAAAAAATGTCTAGAATTTTCCAGTCCCCGCCGTCGTTGAGCATGACCATCTCGTACTCGGGTAACTTTGTACAGCTGCTCCTCCGGTGGAAAGGGTCGATATTTCGGAGTGTTTGGAAGGAGCTGCTCGTTTGGGTGACGCTGTACTACCTTGTACGCGTCTCATACACGCACGCCATACCATGGGCCGATCCGAAGGGTACGCACAAGTACAGGTAAGCGTGAAAAGAGTACGCGTCTATACGAGGGTGTACTTTGCGCTATTTATAGGATTGTAGTGTGTCCAGGGGTAAACAGTGAAAATGCCGACACTTAGGATGTCAGAATGCCGACACCGAATCGCCTCTAACTGAATTTTTGCACATTTCACCTTGTCGGCATTTTTTACTGTCTGGATTTTGGCTGTCGCCATAACAGGCTTGTCGGCATTTTTAATCGCGTCTCATTCGATTTTTGTCGGCGTTTTGCGTGTCTGCATTTCGTTTATGGTAATTTTGGATGTCGGAATTCTATTTTTGTCGGTATCATCGCTGTCGGCATTCCACTCTTGTCGGCATTTAGTGTCTGCATTTTTGCGTGTCGGGATTTCGACCCTAAACCATTTCTCCTATGACATTATGTCGTCATTTTTAATGTGTGGATTTTGTGGTGTCGGAATTTTGGGCGTTAGCATTCTGCATTGTCGGCATTATGACCGTTGGAGCTCGACGCCTGCCGGCATTTTTCTACCAACCACAAGATTTAGGGAGAACTTCATCTCGGTCTGCCAGCAGTGCAACGAGTATACAAAGTTGATACCGCTCACGTTCCTCCTCGGATTCTATGTGTCGAATGTGGTGTCGAGGTGCGTTTACTTGGTTCCGCTTCACCCAAATGCCGACACTATGCCAAAATTCATTTCACCGAAATATAGCCTTGCCTCGCTCGTCCCTTTAAATTGACGGTTCCAGATGGTGGCGCCAATTCGAGTGCCTATGCTGGCCGGAAGACTTGCTGTCATTGTTGTGCTTCGTCGTGCCGGCCGACGACATGAAGCAGGCCAGGGTCCGGCATCGCGTTGCCAGATATCTGAATTTGACGTGCGCCCTCGCATGGTTCGTCATTTTGTGTAGTTTGTAGTCGTTTGCAGGCGCGAAATCTCGTCAAAAATTCGGCTCCGTTTCCCGACGCTGCGCCATATCATCGACAGCGGTCTGTTGACGGAGACGGAGTATGAGCAGTTGATTGATATTGCGGTTGGTGTATATGTATATACAGGGTGTCCCAAAAAAAACCCCCCCCTCGGTATTTGGCCGTCTTCTATCCCATCGGGACCAAATTTTTACCAGCGATGGGGACCCATAAAAACTATGTGCAGCCGAATTTTCTAAGCAAAATATTATAACACAAAAAAGTTATCGCTAAAAAACTGCGTTTTGAGAAACGCTATTACCGATTTTTCGCTATGTTTTCGCAATTAGCATGCCGATTTTGAGTAATTTTCCCAAAAATCGTCATTTTCGGGTCCGTTTCTGTTCGTTTTGATAATAAAAATTGATGAAAAGTCCCGATTTTGATGTAATTTTCGTAAATCAAAAAATTCCTCCGGGTGGAAAAAAGTGCCCTCTCCATTTTTGCTAAACATTTCGAGGCCCTAATCCATCAAAATCCTAGTGAAATCGGCAAAATAAACCTTAATGTCAATATAACTTTTTTGTTTTACAATATCTTGCTTCGAAAATTCGGCTGCACATAGTTTTTATGGGTTCCCATCACCGGTAAAAATTTGGTCCTGATCGGATGGAAGACGGTCAAATGCCGAGGGGGGGTGGTTTTTTTTTGGGACACCCTGTACATAATCACTTACAAGGAATTCAATTTATGTAATTTTTAACATTTCTTAAATAGTTTTAAAAGATTTAAAACTTCCAAAATGTTGAATTTAACGTAGTTTTTAAGGTTCTATTCGATTTTTCGACAAATTTTTACCTAAAATTTTTGTAAGTTTTGATTGTTTTCCACTTTAAATACAGTCATATTTAAGCTAAAAACAAAGTTATAATACTTACTATTACGGTCATATGTAATTTTCGGCTTTTGCAACCCCCCTGATAATGCCAAAGCACCGAAAAACGGCGTGTTTCTGGGTGCTATTACGCCTTAAAATAAGCCAATCGATTACGACATGTTATTAAAGGATACCGTATCCTAAGATAATAAGTTCCCTGTTGCGATTACGCCATTTAATCAAAACCACGATTACGACATGTAATTAAAAATGTAGTAAAACATAATTAAAATAATTTTCAGAAAATCAGCCAAGGCTGCGTGTGGCTGACCCCCCCTACACTGGGTCCAACAGATTGTCTCGGAAACGGTGGCCGAAAGCGGTGCCCTGCCCGCCTACGTTAACAATTTCAACCAGGTACGCTACGCTGCGCAAGCGTACGCAAACGTGCGTAAACAGTACGCCCCTGTACTCACGAAACCCCGCCGCCCTTTTTGGTTACCATTACAGGAAGTGATCTTTGACACGCTCTACCTTATAACAACCGTAAGTACCGCAAGCATCCGAGTAACTGGAGATTAACTAATCGGTTCTTTTGCATTATCGGGGGGGGGGGCTTTTTAAAGGATCCAATTTATTAACCGATTTTGACGATTCCAAACGTAAAAACTCCGATAAATTTTCAATAAAAACCATAAAAATGTCGATTTTTTGAGCAGAAATGGCCGATTTTCGGCCAAAAATTTTTCCAAATTTTTCATGATTTTTTACGGGAAGTTTCGCTAAACTTTACTAAACCTACTATTACAATATTTATCCCTACATTGCGAAGCATTTTCCGACTTTAGAAGAAATCGACCCCCCCCCCCCCCGATAATGCGAAAGTACCAACTAAAGATATCTAAATTTTTATGGCCAATTTTTTTAAGGGCATTAATTCTCCTGTAATGTGATTTTATAACAATTTTAATAGCATCCACATCATCATGTAAACGCCCGAAAAACGGTACAACGTTTTCTAGGAGCTCAAATCGTTCCGCATCAGCTTCCGGCGGCTGTTCTGCCACGATTGGGTGTGTGTGCCGTTGGTCTATACGCAAGTAGGTGTCTATACCTTGCTTCAATGGGCCTTGAAAATCGTCAAGGAACCGTGACGCGTCCTGAACGCGTTGCCAAACCCCTGGTTTAGGTAGCTGCTCTAGCTACATACGCCTTTTTCTTCTTCTGCCTGTTCGGCCGGCAGACGATCGTCGAATCGGAGCTGCGCGCAAAGCATGGTATCGGTACCAGCCAATTTAACAATTTCTTTAGGCCTGGAAACCGTGGATTTCCGGTTCCCCATCTTCACCGTCGTGCAATTTCTCTTCTTCGTTGGGTGGTTCAAGGTATTTGATTGAGGCTTGTTAGGCTTAAGTTCCGTATCAGGCCAGGGCTTAGCTTAGGCTTAGGCTTAGGCTTGGCTTAGGCTTGGCTTAAGCTTGGTTTAGGCTTGGCTTAGGCTGGGCTTAGGCCTTCGGCATTGGAACTAGATTTATACTTTTGCTTGCATTTCCACGTTTCGATGACGTCTACGTTTCTAGGTGGGCCAAGATCTGATGCGACCGTTCGGGCTCGACGATGATGACATTGAATTGTCCTACATTCTCGACCGCAACATTTTGACGTCATTTACGATAGCTAACACGTTGCAGACGAGGGCGCCACGTGAGTTTTACACAACACTCCAGTTGACGCAACCGTACACAAGCTGCCAGCTACAGCACAAAATGACCCTATCCCAGCCTCAGTAGCTGCTCCGTGCAGTACGCAACACTCCAAAATACAGCTCCATACGCATAGTACAAGACGCTCCAATTGACGCTACTGTAAATGAAGCTGAATAACGAATTTACACTGCGCAACACTCCAATACGCCATACAGTACGATACGGCTATTGACGTCCCGTTTTTTTCAGCCCCATTTGAAGAAGATCCTTACTGGAAGGCGCGCCACGACCCCAACGTCGCCGATTCCTCATTAAAGTATGTGTCCGGTGGATCGTGTGGAATTTCGAGCTTTAGGTACGGGCGAATTGATCTGAGTCGCGCGAATCACAAGCATCCGCCCAAACTCCATATGCTCGCCGACCTGAAGACGGTCGATAAGCAATTTGTGGTAATGCCTCCTCGCTCTCTCGCTCTCTCTTGCTCTCTCTCTCTCTCTCTTGCTCTCTCTCTATCTCGGTCTCTACCTCTCTCTCTCTCTCTCTCTCTCCCGCTCTCCCGCTATAAAAATATTTTCCAGCAACACCAAGTCGAAAACGGATGTGTCCTGCACGACAAAATGGATATGGTGGAGGAGAGGAAGTAAGTGGAGCGGATAGAGAGAGAGAGAGAGCGAGAGCGAGAGCGAGAGCGAGAGAGAGACAGAACAAGAGAGCGAGAGACAGAGAGATATATTCGAAATTTCAGGCTGCTATTCTGGTGACGTCTTCACTACCGCTGATTAACCCACAAAAATGGTCTCAATTCTGGGTGAAAGTGCTTGGAAAAAATTTCTGCTATAAATTATGTAAACTGTGATTTTGTGCGCACTACGAGAGAGAGAGAGAGAGAGTGAGAGATAGAGAGAGAGAGAGAGAGAGAGAGAGAGAGTGAGAGATAGAGAGTGAGAGATAGCGAGATAGAGAGCTAGAGAGAGCGAGAGAAATAGACAGACAAGCCGACAAACGTTCCCGTTCGACTCATCCCCCCTCCTCATCTGGGGTCAGTTTAAGGGCTAGTTTTGCTAGCCACTGTGGGTATATGTCACTCTCCTCTGTCTGTCTGTCTGTCAGTTTGTGCGAATGTGAGAAAAGGGGATGGATTGAGAGTCAATTAAAGGGATGGGCAATCGACAGCCCTCCTCCTCCTCATACCCCTTTTGTCGCAATTGCCACCACCCACCCGAAGGCTTTTCCTTTAGAGACTGGGTATGTGCCATCCCTTCAACCACTCGCTGACCACCCCGCCGTTCCTTCTTTCCCCTTCACAAAATCGATGTGTTTCAATTTTTTTTGCTTATTGTTGGTACTTTTTAGAGTCGTGTAAGCCTAAGCTTGAGCCTAAGCCTAAACCTAAGCCAATGCCTATGCCTAAGCCCAAACGTAAGCTTAAGTTTAAGCCTAAGCTAAGCCTAAACCTAAGCCTAAGCCTAAACCCAAGCCTAGCCAAAACCTAAGCCTAAGCCTAAGCCTAAACCCAAGCCTAACTTGCGCATAGTCGTAAGCTCAAGCCTAAACCTGAACGTGAACCTAAGCCTAAGCCTAAACCTAAGCCTAAGCCTAAACCCAAGCCTAGTCTAAGCCTAAGCCTAAGCCTGAGCCTAAGCCGAAACCAAAGCCTACGCTTAAGCATGTCTCATCTACGCCTAACCGTAAGCCCAAGTCCAAGCCTACGCCTGAGCCTGAACGTGAACCTAAGCCTAAGCCTAAGCTGAAGCCTAAGCCTAAACCTAAGCCTATGCCTATGCCTAAGCCCAAACGTAAGCTTAAGCCCAAGCCTAAGCTAAGCCTAAACCCAAGACTACGCTTAAGCCTAAGCTTAGGTACAAGCCTAACCGTAAGCCTAAGCTAAGCCTGAAACAGCCCTAGATCTCAACTTTACGGTGCTCAACTTTGATATACCATGAAGTCGTTCTGAGATAAACATGGCGTAATCGATTTTGAGTGAAACTCGGTTCAACCCCGGTAAAAATTCAATTGCCGAATCGATAATTGTCAGCTTCCTGATGCTTTTAAAATACATAAAACGGAATTTCATGACGTAGTCGATTCGAGGTGTCCGTAAAACGACTAATTTCATGCCAGAACGTGCTGATCCGTAAAATGCGGAACAGCGGATTCCTGTTAGCGCATCTCAGCCTTCCACCCTTTTTTATGTCAATCTGTTGGGGGTGTGAGGCTGTCCCCCACTGGCAAACTGTCATTTGGGAGTGGCGCGTAGTCGCTCTCTCTCTCTCTCTCACTCTCTATCTCTCTCTCTCTCTCTCTCTCTCTCTTCCGAACTTATCACCCTGTCCCCCCTGTTTTCGGGTATGCTTTTGGACTGAATTCTGCCGCCTCAAGCAGCCATCACCAACCCATCCTCACAGCCATGGCAAAGAAAAGTGAATTTCCAGCCGCCATCCATATCCACATCCCCCTATCAGCCATGCATAGTAGCTAGTCGGAATTTCCGGCGGGATTAGTATCGATTTGGTTAATAAAGCTGGCTTCCTGGTTTCTTGAAAATTATTAATCCACGATATTTAAACGATATTTCAGTTTCCCAACACCTTAAAACTTGCTTTCGGACCAGAATTTCCGGCGTAATTGGTTAAATGTATCTAAATCACTTGCCTTGCCAATCCCTTTAAGCTGATGTTTACAGAATTTAATGGCGTAATCAATTACGTCCGTGATAAAATTGATTACCTCCGGGTATGCTGTATTTGATGCCCTGATAATTTGGTGACGTAAACGATTAAGGAAAGCAGCGTAGAAGTAATTGACTTATCGATACTTTAATAGGAGTTTAGCTTAGGATTTCATTGCGTAATCGATTAGATTCAGTGCACAATTCCTTTAAAAACCGCAAACAATCGAAAGGAGCGATACCTGCTGTCTTGCCTAATGAATCGCTCTACGGCGGGAATGGAAAGTAGGTGATAGCCGAGCGAAAGTTATTTATCCCCGCCTAGTCGCATACTTTGGGTATGAATCCATCAAAATTAGCGGGTTTGTCGACATTATCATTTTTCGACTATGAATTTCGGCATTATGAAATTTCCATATTATCACAATAGCGTTTTTTTTTCTGGCATCTAGCCATCGATTCAAAGATCTACCACCCCGCGCCAGCCAGTAGAAAATGCCGATCACCCCAAAACAGGGCTGCCATTCCGAGGCTCAACCTGCATTTTAGCCCCCCCCCCGGGCTTTGTTTCTCTCTCTCTCACTCGCTCTCTCTCTCTTTCTATGTTTCTCTCTCTCACTCGCTCTCCACCCCTTTCCCTTGATAGCGCGGGCTGACTGTAAGAACCGGAACATCGCCTAAATTTTTTGCGCGTCATGAAAACATTCTTTTCCGGATTTCCCTATCGTAATCCATTTTGTTTTTACCGTTTTTCTAGCTTTTCACCTTTAAAATTAACGTATTTGCGTTTTTGATTAGAGCCAGTGAATGCCGAATCGGATACTGGTGATCGGGCTGCTCGCAGGCTTCTTGCCAGGTAAGATTCAGTTTTTTTAGGTTTTTAAAGGGACTTGGAAGACAAAAAAGGTAAAACATCAGGAGATTCTAACATCCCAACCCCTTGAAAAATAGAAATTTCCGATATCTCCTTCGCTACGCTACGCTCCACTTTACATTTCAGCGGCCCTCGGCTGTATGGCCGGCTACGAGGACGAGCGTGATCGTCTACGGGAACATCTCGGAATCGCGTGGCTGCCGCACGGGTTGGATAAAACTGGTACTGTAGAGCTATGTAGTTTGTACTAGGCTGTGTTTTGTAGCGAAAAGTAGTAGTTGCAGTTAAAATATTCTTGTCACGGCCGCCAGGCTCAATTGAATCAATTTTTTTCAGCCGTCAGCGACAAGACGATCCGCCGGTCGACGGACTTGAATTGTGACTTTAGCAGCCCGAAGGAGTGCCGGTAATTGGAGTGTGGCGGAGCTCGAAAAGCGCTATTTCAGTTGGAAAAACATGGAGGCGAGGCACGAGATGGATTCGCTGGATTTTCATCTTTTTGAAAAGGTACTTGCTTCCGTCTCTCTCTCTCTCACCCTCTCTCTGGCTCTCGCTCTCTCACTCCCTCTCTTTCTCTCTTCCTTTCTCTCGCTTTATTACTCTCTCCCCCTCTATCTCGCTCACGGATACGCTCACTCTCACTCTCACCGCTCTATATCTCTCACTCTCACTCACGCTATCACTCTCGCTCTCGCCCTGACTCTCACTATCGCTTTGCCTGTCTCTCTCTCTCGCCCTCACACACTCTCTTTCTAGCGATATATCTCTCACTGTCTCTCTCTCATTGACTCTCTCGCACGTACACAACATTCTCTCTCATGCTCTATCTCTATCACTCTATCTCTCTTTATTTCTCTAACTAGCTCTCTCTCACCGGCACGCTCACTCTCTCGCTCTCGCTCCCTCTCTCTCGCTCTCGCTCTCTCTCGCTCTCTCTTCTTACCTTCAAAAATCAAGAAAAACTGGAAAATGTCAGGTGGACTGGACGGAATTCCCAGCTCTCCAAGTCAGACCCGGTCCCAGCAAAGTGGCCCAGGGCGATAAGATGATCTTCACTGGCGATAGGGTAAGCTAGCGCTCTGCAGAACCTAGTCTTTTTCCAGAAAAGAGAAGAACAATCTGCCATCTACTACAGCTCTCCCATCGGCTGCCAGAATGCCACCGGGAATTTGACGTTTACGTACGTTTTCTAAAGCTTACCACGGTACCGGGTTTGGAGAGAGAGTGAGAGAAAGCGAGAGATAGGCGGGGGAGAGAGGGAGAGAGAGAACGCTTGCCACTTTCTTAAAAAATTTCTTATACTATTTTTCAGCTTCTGGGTGTACAATGATGCCCGGGTGGAGGTGCTGCTCCTCGAGGATCGGCCGGGCGGCAAGCTGAAAGAGCTGGCCGAGAAGCCGTATGTTGATTGCGGTACGCTTGCCGAGGCCTTTAAAACCAGAATTCTCCAAATTTAGGCACGATCAGTCTAAACACCGAGTGCCACGCCGACATCCCAGCCAGACAGACGCCCTTCCGGTTGGCCATCCGGGCGTATGATATTGCCAATAAGGTACGGGAGAGAGTTTAAAGGGAGTGTGACACGCTTTGTGTGAGTGGCAAAGACGGAAAACTTACTATGAAACACCCTCAATTCAGGAAGGCTCCTTCGTGATGGTCGACCAAATCATGTATTCGGCACCGTTGTGCAATGTTGGAGGTAGGCTAGCCGGCAGAGATCATTTTGGAAAATCACAAAAACGATTATTCTATGTTTTAGTTGATCTCGGCGACAACTTCTCGACAAAGCCGCTGATAACGGCAGCTATGGGCAAGGTGAGGGGTTCAAGATTCACCCTTCAACGGCTCTTTAGGACATCTCCCTGGCGAGCCAACTTGACTGCGCCGATTACGACGAGAAATGCCGGTGGAGGAGTGGCGGCCAGTCGGACAAGGTAAGTGAATGCGTTGCGGGTGCGTCGCTGATGGATTCTGGTGTCGCTGTGCCATTAAATACAAGTTTTTAGATGTGGCGTCGGTCAACCTCGCCTCTACCTCGAGAATTCCTTTACAATACTACTGGCAGTTATATGGGTAAGAGAGGGAGAGATAGGGAGAGAGAGAGCGAGAGAGCGAGAGAGACTAGTGAAAAATCTTCCATTTTCAGGTCCATCGGGAGCCTATGCCGTCCTTTACATCGATCAGGGCTCCAAGAGACCCCTCGACGTCCTAAAAGCCGACCCAATCCCTTGCCAAAGCCAGACCGAGAACAAGCTATCATTCAGGTAAGTTTTTAGAATTCGAGTAAATGCACGAGAGGGAGAGAGAGAGAGAGAGAGAGAGAGAGAGAGAGTGAGAGAGAATGAGATTTGGGTAAAGATACCGTAGTATTTCAAGTTTGATTACTGTAGATGGTGGGCAACCCGGGACGTCCGTCTCGAGGTGTGTGCCGTAGGGCCACCGGGTACCCCCGAGGAATGCCGTTCTTTGCCCGCCGAAACGAGCCCCGCACCGGCCGAAGTATCGTTCCGGACCGCGTCCACGCAGTTTACGGTGGGTATTACGCTAAAATAATCGTTTACGGTTAAACCGGTATTGCATAAATTATATGGTATCATGTGCCGCAAGTTACCGTACGGCAAAGTTATTATGAGGAAATCGGCTGTGATTAAAACAGCATACGTTGGCTTACGAGACATATTAGTACGGCATACTACAAACGGTATGAGACGCTCTACCGTAAGTTGTACGGCGTAGTACAGGATAGTACGTTTTATACGTTTGTTACGCGCAACATCCAGTCTTGAGTACGCTATGCTACGCATAGTACACAGCATCGAAATCCAGTAAAAAAAGCTAAATTAATAAATTCTGAATTCTACAGATTCAAATCCGTGTGGCGAGCTTCAGCCCAGATTTCGACAGCGTCGTCATCATTGACGATTTGACGTACAGGTGCGTGGATGGGGCTACGGTAGAGTCCATAATTCCAGGGCGACGCTATGTACGGACCCGTTGTCGGTGTTTGACCTCGGTGAACACTTTGTCTCCACTCCAATGCTGTCTCTACTTCTCCATCGCCACGTCAATTCTGGGAAGGTACGGTGATTGGGTTGGTATTTAGAATATTGCGTTGTTAAAGCTGTGTAAAATTTAAAATTTTAGGAATTGTCCTGCGACTTCTCGAAGCGAGCAGCCGATTGTGTCTGGGGATCGACTGAATATAATAATGTTGAGGACAGGTACGGTGGTCGTAATTTGGAAAGTGGCGTACTCTGTGCTACGACGTAATTCGGACTTTTCGGTTAAATTGCCGTAATCAGCTAAATGCCGAAATAGGGCGAATTTATAAAATACCGTAATCAGACAGATATCGTATTCCTTGGAATTCTAGCTTAAGTTACGGTAATTACCTAATTACCGTAATCTCATGAATTTTTGAGATATCGTAAGCAGATAGATAGCTTTTTTTAGGGCCCAATAATTTTTAGAATCTCACAATTTTGTACCTTTCCGTAATCAGCTATATACGGTATTTTTGAGAATTTGTATGGTACCGTAACCACGTAAATACCGTAATTTTACAAATTAATCTGTCCTGCACCCTTTAAAGTCGAACAGATGCCGAAATAATAATAATATAAGTGCCAAAAACAAAGTAAAAAAATGCTAAAAATGATAAAATATAAGTATTTTTCAGTGAACTTGTTCCCGACGTCTGGCAGGTGGGCCATGGTCCGCTAAATGAGGAGAAGCTCTACTCGTTGAGTGGCCAGACTCGGACACCAGGTCTAAATAATTTCTAGGTCTTTTTAAAGCTTGATTCAGACGGCGAGTTCGCGGTGGCCAAGTTCGAGACGGGCGGCTCGTCGCTGTTGCTCTCGGAGGTTCCTATTTTTTTAATATATTTTCGGTATTCTGCACTAACTTTGTGCCCCTGAACTTGTTGCGGCCGCGTTGCGCTCTTTTGAGGCCAATTTTCCAGGTGATCCGCTGCGTGCTGGACGACGTCTCGATCTCGTTCAACATGTGGGCCACGGGGACGGCGTCGTTGCAGGTGGCTTGTCCGGTTACTCTATGAAAAATGGGGCTTCTAGGTGTGTCTGGTGGAAGAATCGTCGCCATCGCTGCTCGATTGCCAGCCGGCCGCCTCGGGACCGGTGGTCGTCGACTTGCCGCCCATCAAGAAGCCGTTCAGGTCCATTTCCCATTTTTTATAGTTGCAATACAAAACGTAATCAATTAGCATTTAATAGTTAAATTTGGTATCGTAATAGAAAATAAACTCTATTTCCGCTTTTTACTGATTACATTACGCCATGTAATGGTTAAGACACTTTTTGCTATTTTTTGTTAGTAGATTACGTCATTTAATGTCGAAAATTCGTTTATACCTTTATTGATTATAGTACGTAATCGATTAGCTAGATTTTCGCTTTTTACTGATTACATTACGCTATGCAATCCATAAAACCCACCCTCCCTTCAGAATAGCTCTTCGCGCCGACGCCGAAGACCAGGGCCTCCTAATCGTCGACGACATTGACGTCCAGGTATCGTTGCGTAGTCGAGGGAGTTAAAGGGGTTAGAAAACCCAAAATGTCGACTAGGTATCGATAAATGCTCGTAATTTGGTGCCCCACGTGGTTGTCGAAACCTATGGGCTCGATTCTGGCCTTCTTAGCCCCTTTAAAACGTTTTCTAGGGCTCCGTCTGCCCGGCCTTCGCACGCCAGTTCGCCTCCAAACATTTCAGGTACAACTACGCGATGCTACTCCTTACACCCCTTATTTCAGCCCGGCCGTGGAGCACCCGGACCCGAACGTGTGCCGCCTGTTGTCCTGCGACTTCTCCCATGGCCACGCATGTCTCTACACGCACAATACCGTACCCGGATCGGCTCCGTTCAGGGTATCGTCCCGTAGTGATTGCATTAAAGCAGTGGGAAAGGCATCAAGAATGTTATGTTATGAAGCGAAGCCTAAGCTCGAGCTTAAGCCTAATCGCATCCTAAGCCAGACCTAAGGCAAAGCCAAGTCTGAGCTATGCCTCTGCCAAGCCTACGCTAAACTTCAGCCTAAGCCTAAGCCCACGCCTACGCCAAGCCAAAGCCATTCATAAGCCAATCATAAGCCAAGCCTAAGTGAAGCATAAGTAAAGCCTAAGCCAAGCCTAAGTAAAGCCTTAACCTATCCTAACTTAAGCCTATAAGCATAAACCTACGCCTAAGCCTAAGCCTAAGCCTAAGCCTAAGCCTAAATCTAAACCTAATTCTAAGCCTAATCGAAGCCTAATTATGCCTGCGCCAAGCCTAAGAGTAAGCAGAGGTCTAGAGACCAAGCCTGAGTCAAACCTGTGGATAAGCCAAGCCCAAGCTATGACTCGGCCAGCCTAAGCCAAGCCAAGTCTAAGTCGAGTAACCCTAAGCTAAGCCCCCTTTAGTTGAAACCTAAGCTTTAAGCGCTGTTTCTCGCGAGCGGTGTTCAAATCGATAAGAAATCCGTGCCTTACCGATCCCTTTCATTGAATTCAGGTAACCAATGCCGGTGCTCGAGCCACGATCTCAAAAGGGCGCCCAGTAGCCGTCCTCGAATCGGTCCCATTCCGCCTGAATACCATTGGACGGTTGCACTTTACGTATGCCACTACGGTAATTTTGTGATGTGATTTTTTTAAGTGTCATTTAGGGCGATGCTTCGCTGTATGTGTGCAATGATAGTGTCAAAAAGGAGCTGGAGAGTTGCTTCAAGGTAATTAACGGTAAAAATACCCTAAAACTTTAAAAATTCAAAAAAGACTAAAAATTTGCAGGTGGAAGGCTCTGACGGTGAAGATTACATCGAACTGCTGCCGAGTGATACAAAGGTGAATTATCGAGCGATACCTTGGGCTACCGTATCCCATTCCCAGTTTTTTGAACAATAGCTGATCTTTAAATTTGTCGAAAAATCCTGTGGTGTAGCATCCCGTAGTGAGCGTACGGTTGTGTCATGTGGGGTAACGTATCGTGTCGTAGCGAACTGCTGAGGCATGCATAAGGTACTGCAACGTAGCGTAGCGTGCCGTGACGTAGCGTACCGTATCGCGGCGTAGCGTACTGTTGTGGTAGGTACGTAGAGTATCTAGCCGTAGCGTACTGTAACGTAGCGTACCGCCCCGCAGCGTACTGTACTGGAGCGTAGCGTAGCGTGTGTGGTAGCGTAGCGTACTGTTGCCTCTTGGAGGGTGCCGTATAGTATCGTAGCGCATTGTTTTGGCATGTATATAGGGTAGCTCACCGTAGCGTACCGCATCGTACTGTACTGACCCATGCCGTACCTTCTCGCACCGTACCGTAGTGTGGTGTAGCGGGGTAAAGTCACTACCCCGAAATAATTTGCATGATTTTCATAGGAAATCCGCATGAAAACTGGATTTTTTCCGGGAAAAACACTGCTATCATTTTTCGGGGTAAACGATTTCGGGGTAGTGACTTTTCGGGGTAGTGACTTTTCGGGGTAATGGCTTTTCGGGGTAGTGACTTTTCGGGGTAGTGACCGGACGCCTGGTGTAGCCTATTCTGGCACATTTTGCTAATGCTAAATAAATATAATTTACCTATATTAATTAGGTATCAACTTCAATATTTCAGGTGTACTTGATCGGCCGCCTCTCCGAGCATTCACTCGACTTGGGCTCGTTGCGGATCATGAACTTGACGCTGACCGATACCATCGACGAACCGGCATGCTAAATCAACAGATTTTAGCGTCTAACAATTGTTGTTTGCCATTTTGAGGGGGCCGTAATTTGGAGTCAGCCGGAAAATCGGAAAACACCGATTTTCACTTGAATTTTGTAGCTGCAGCTCGCTGAGTATTGCAATAACAGCGTGTTCAGGCTAAAAATCCCTTGCTCGCTCTCACTCTCACTCTGTCTCTCTCTC